TCCCTGAGTGAGCTATCGTTATGCAGGGGCCTCTCTGCAGGCCGTCTACAAAATCTCTTTCACATCTGCATGGTTAACATCCTCAATACGTCTCCTCCTCATTCCCTTCCCCAGCTTCGTAATAAAAAGGCACATCAGCCTGTAACGAACTCTTGTCAAGACTCAAGGGCTTCTAATTAATTTCTTGTAATGCTATTTCTTATATCAATTACGTCCTGGGGAACCAGCAACTCCCTGTCAAGGCCAGCTCTTTACAACTACAGAGTGAAAGTCTTTCTGTGCAGGAAGTGGCTACAGGAACTCAACTGCACAGTGTTCTGTCAGCATCCCCTTCCCTGCCATGCTGCCATGCTCCCTTGCCCTGGGGCCTCAAATGATCTTGAGTAAAGTCACTACACAGTCATAAATGGACTTTTGTTTCCGGATTCTCCTTGTGAGAACGCACTGTTAGACCCCAGAACAGTGATGGAGCCAGGGGAGGGAGTCTCATTGGTTCCTTCCTCCGGGTGAGGTATGCTCATCCCTTAAAGCTTGTCCTTGGAAGGCACAGATGGCTAAATGTAGGCTTTAGAGACATGTCAGGGGAGTGTCCAGGGGGAGCAAGAAAAAGAGGTGTCAACTTAGAGGAGGTGCTGAGCCAAGAACAGATGCTACCAACCGGGTATCCAGAATGAGCACCTGAGGAGAGGATTCAGGCAGCCCTACAGTGAAGGGCAGGTCAAAGACCAGCTTAACCTGCCACCGCTGTGCCCAGGATATAGAATCATCACAAAGCAGATCCCTTCTTTTTCTTGCTTCATTTTCCAAACCCAAGTTTCATATTCAGGACAGCGTTTTAAGAACCCATGCTATGAAACATCAACACAGATCCTTAGAAGCTCGTACCTGGAGGAGGCATTCAAGGTCTCATTGTCCAGGGCAGGGCTAGGCAGGTGTTTGTTCTATTAGTGTTTTCTCTGGAACCCAGTCTCCCTAGATCCTTCCACTGTAAAGGCCAGGCTCATTCTGGAGTTAACAATGGTAACAAAAAAGGGACAAGAGTACCTCTCTTATTACTATCACCCAGCACCACCACTGAGAAAACACAAAAGTTGGTTTCTAGGTTTCTTTTTTTTTTTTTTTTTCATTCGGAGTTTCGCTCTTGTTACCCAGGCTGGAGTGCAATGGTGTGATCTCAGCTCACCTCAACTTCTGCCTCCTGGCTTCAGGCAATTCTCCTGCCTCAGCCTCCTGAGTAGCTGGGATTATAGGCACGCGCCACCATGCCCAGCTAATTTTTTGTACTTTTAGTAGAGACAGGGTTTCACCATTTTGACCAGGATGGTCTCGATCTCTTGACCTCGTGATCCACCCGCCTCGGCCTCCCAAAGTGCTGGGATTACAGGCGTGGGCCACCGCGCCCGGCCTCTAGGTTTCTTTACAGCTGTGTATAGATGCTCCTCAACTTACGATGAGACACATCCTAATAAACCCATCGTAAGTTGAAAATATTCTATATTGAAAATGCAGTTAATACCCTGATAAAACCATCCTAAGGTCAAAATATCATGCATGGAACTATTGTAAGTTGGGTACTGTATGTATTTTGAACAAACACATTATTCAATTTTATAGCAAAATTGCAGACATGTAGTAACATATCCAAGGTGACCATGTTGGATATCAGCAGGACTAGGACCAGTGTCTCCACACGCTTGACTCAACCATATAGAATATTACTTCTCTTGTATGACTTGTAAGACACTTATTCTGAACCCACATCTTTGTGGCTGTGTTTTCTGATCTAAGGATGAGGTTACATGGACTGACAATGGGAAGGAATCCTTCAAAATTCATGCTGTCAAGATGACACAAATGTAGTGTAGTCAGACCTGTAATCTTAGCAGTTTGGGAGGCTAAGGTGGGCAGATCATTTGAGGTCAGGAGTTCCAGACAGCCTAGCCAACATGGCAAAACCCTTTCTCTACTAAAAATACAAAAATTAGCCATGCATGCTGGTTGGGAGGCTGAGGCAGGAGAATTGCTTGAACCTGGGAGGTGGAGGTTGCAGTGAGCAGAGATGGTGCCACTGCACTCCAGCCTGGGTGACACCGCAAGACTAAATCTCAAAAACAAAAACAAAACAAAACAAAAAAGTATAGTGAGACTATTAGTATCCTTTATGTGGGCATGAGAGTGAAGGAAGATTTTTAAAGTCTACTTAATCAAAGTAGTGATACTAAGTAACACATACTTTATTTATCACTTCTACAGTACTTTGAAGACCAAAAGAACCAGATACAGCCTCCTACAAGGACAACACTTAATATTATGAGAAGTCTTTTCTTGTTCTGACATGTAATGAAACACTTCTTCGAGGCTATTAATCCAGAGTCTAGGTGGGATTGCCAGAATGAATGAAGGTGGCATTCAATCCCTGACCTAGCAGGTATCCTAAAGGTAAGGATGACATTTGGCTGTGCAGATATTTCTCCACGGCTGTGTTTCCAAACTCTGACTGCTAATTGTCATCACTCATAAAGAGACGCCTTTTCTAGCAAAATATGATAGCATTAACTCAAATCCATGTCGATATAATTAAGTTTCAGTCTGTCTGTCACATCACAGATAGTGGCTGAGTGGATTTTCATTAAATTTGGAGGCTATGTGTCATATGCTAAAATTAATTTGGGGGATTGGTAGAAGGGGTGTTCACCACAAAAAAAAAGGGCAGTTATTCTCCAGAGCAGCTGCAATTGAGATAAGATGGAAGGTTTAGAAGCTTTGTGTGTGGAAGAGACAGGCCATAAGTATTAAAATGCCATGACCGAGAAAGCAAGTAGTGGCTTCAAATAAGTCTCAAATCAACACTTACCGGGGCATCTCCTCTTTTTCAGTGGGATTGCTTCTCACATGGGCAACTTTGTGGAAGAACATTCTGCTGTGCAGATCAGCAGACATTTATTGAATAATAATTAACAATTTCTGCAACACTGCTAAGACCAGAGTCCTCAATAATTCAAAGAAGATACTCTGTTTTATTACTTAGGTATACAGACCTATAGTGATTGTTACCCAGTTTCCTGCTGAATTTTCAGGGTGGCAGTTTGTAATCCATTCAATTTCCATCAAGGATGTCACAAAGCATCTAAAGGGTAATTTTCTTTTCTCTGATATCTGATGGGCAACGGTCACAGAATATTTTAGTAATAAAGTAGATGAATTGATCTTTCTTGATCACTTAGCCAGCAAGTGAAATGGAAAAAATAAAGGTTAAAAGTTAGGAAAATTAGGCTGAATCCCAGCTTGCTACATATCAGTTGGTGAACCTTTCTCATCTTTGACTGCATCATCTGTAAATTGAGATGAACATGACCCCTTCTTGGGTCAGTCAAGGTTGCTTGGTTACAGGAAATAGAAGCCATCCAAAGCTATCCAAGGAAGTGATGCTGGAACTCAAGGGCAGGAAGGTAGGAGCCATTCCTCATGTAAGACCTTAACGAGGAGCAGAAAGCCTGGCTTTCTGGGATGCTTTGGTCTCCATGACTGTATCCCACTTTGCTTCTCCCCAGAAGTTTCCTTTTGTCTACATGGCACAAAAATGGCCACTCCAAGATTGCAATCCATCCAACTTTCCAGTTAACATGCTCACCAGCAATTTTTATATCAGATTCACAAGACAGATAATCTAATTGCTCAGCCTAGATTACCTCTAAGTCAACCACTCACTCCTGGCCCAAATCAGGACTGGGTATGAAAGATGAAGAGGGAAGAGAGTAGAGAAAGTGGTTACATTTTATAAGTAGAGCAGCCAAAAGTAGTGTTAATGAAAAAATCCAAATTCTGTTAAATATTTGCAGAGATTTATTGGAAGCCAAATATGAGGACGATGACCTGTAACACAGCCTCAGGAGGTTCTGGGAACGTGTGGCAAGGTGGCTGGGTTACAGCTTGGTTTTACAGATTTTAGAGGGACTTGGGACTCTAATCAATGCATGTGATGTGTACAATGGTTTGGTCCAGAAAAGTAGGACAACTCAAAGTTGGGGCTTACAGTTCACAGGTGGATTCAAAGATTTTCTTGCCAAGATTTTCAATTGATTGATAAAGTTAAGTTATCTAAAGACCTGGAATTGATAGAAATGAATGTCTGGGTTAAGATAAGAGGTTGTGGAGACCAAGGGTCTTATTATGCAGGTAAAATCTCATAGGTGACCACCCTTAGAGGCAATAGATGGCAGATGATTTCTATTTAGACCTTCAAAAGGTTCCAGACTCTCTGGAAAAAAAAAAAAAGTAAGGGAAGGAGATTCTCTACAGAATGTAAATTTCTTCCATAAGAGACAGCTGTGCGGGGCCTTTCTAAAATATGTCAAAGAAATATATTTTGGGGTAAAATACCTTGATTTCCTGTGAGGAGTTGCTATCTGTCATGTGATGCTATGCCAGAGTCAGGCTGGAATTTGGGATCTTATTGCTTCAAACAGCCTCTTCTGTCACTCTTAAGATCTCTCTTTTAATGTTAATGCTGGTCAATTGTGCCTAAACTCCAACAGGGGGAGGCCGTAATGAAGCATGTCTGACCCCTCCTTCCCATCATTGCCTAAAATAGTTTTTCAAGTTTTCTTTGAGTCCTCTGGGCCCAGAAGGGGTCCACCTGGCTGACTGAGAAACTTATAATTTTATATTTGATTTACACTGGACAGTAGACATTGCCTAAGAAGAAGGACAGTGCCTTGTCTGATTGGGGGGAGATGATCTGAGGCATGTATGTGTGAATGCTGCACCATCACCGGCAGTCTCAGAGGTGATGCTCTAAACCACTGTGACTGAGCTGTAAAATCAGAGTGGATTGAAACACCAGGAACAGGCCAGGCATGGCAGCTCACGCTTGTAATCCTAACACTGTGGGAGGCCAAGGCAGGTGGATAATATGCAGTCAGGACTTCGGAGACCAGCCTGGCCAACATGATAAAACCTTGTCTCTACTAAATATACAAAAAAAATTAGCTGGATGCTAGCAGATGCCTGCAATCGCAACTACTCAGGAGGCTGAGGCAGGAGAATCACTTGAACCTGGGAGGTGGAGGTTGCAGTGTGCCAAGATCATACCACTACACTCCAGCCTGGGCAACACAGCAAGATTCTGTCACACACACACACACACACACACACACACACACACACACACACACATACAAACAGTAACATGGAACAACACAGTCATTCTGCGTCTGCTTCTGCACTGTGTTAACTCAGAGGCATTTAATTAAAACTGAGATAAAATCCAATTCAACCTAGCATAGAAAATAAGAATCTTTACTGGCTCACAAAATTAAAAGTACAAAGGTAGGGCAAGCTTTGGGAATGAACTCTATCTAGCAGCTCCAGTTTTGGATCCCTGGAATTCTCTGCGATTTCCATATGTGAGCTTCACCTTCTTCTGGATAACAACAAAATAGCTTCAGTGGTTCCAAGCCTTGTAACCACATGACAATGTTCAGGAGAAAAGTGAAAACATCTTATCTTGTTTTCACTTTTCTCTGAAGAAAGAGAACACTTTTCCTCATGGCCCACAAAGCTTTCCCTTTTCAGTCTGCTTTTTCAAATCAGAGCAGGTGCTCATTTGCGCGATGAGAAACTGACAAATGCCACAAACGGTTTGGCTTATACCTGGATTCCTAGACCAATCCAGAGACCTGAGGGCATAGAAACTATGATGATGAAACACCCACAATGTTGATGATCATAATACTGTGATTTAGCATAATGAATACAGGCCAGGGGCAGTGGCTTATACTTACAATCCTACCGCTTTGGGAGACCAAGATAGGAAAATTGCTTGAGGCCAGGAGTTCAAGAGCAGCCTGAATAACAAAGCAAGAATCTGTCCTAAAGAAAGAGAGAGAGAGGGAGGGAGAGAGAGAGAGAGGGAGTAAGAGGGAGAGAGAGAGAGAGAGAGAAATACATACAGGCATGCATTAACAATGGGGAATAGGTTCTAAGAAATCTATTGGTAGGTAGTTTTGTTTTTGTGTGAACATCACGGAGTGTACTTACAAAAACCTAGATGGTACAGCCTGCTACAGGCCTAGGCTCTATGGTATAGCCTATTGCTCATAGGCTACAAACATGTCTAGCATATTATTCAACTGGAAACTGTAGACAAGTGTAAAACAGTGGTATTTCTGTATCTAAACATAGAAAGATACACTAAAAATAGGATATTATAATCTTATGGGACCACTACCATCATATATGGAGTCCCTCATTGGCTAAAACATTATATATAGAACCCCTACAGCCCCCAGAACTTCCTAAGTAATATAAACAATAAAAGCGAAAGGAGTGTCTTTCATTATTTATAACAAGTCGCTTTCAACCTTACCTGAGTTTATGTTAGTGAATAACTTTCTGTAGGTCCCTAAGGATAGAGACTGGTTGCCATGGGAATGAACAATTTGATCACATTTGATTAGAGGGTTGGAACTTTCAATCCCATGCCCCATCACCAGTGGCTAATGATTTAACCTATCATGCCTACATAATGAAGTTTCCAAAAAACCAGAGGATGGAATTCAGGGAGCTCCCAGGTTGCTGAACACTTGGAGGTACACCTACAGAGGGTACGACAGTTCCACACCCATCCCTCATATCTTGCCTTGGCATCTCTTCCATTGGCTGTTCCTGAGTTGCACCCTTTTATGACAGACGAGTAATATGGTAAGTAAATTTTTCTTGAGTGATGTGAGCCATGTTAACAATTATCAAACCTGGGGAGAGGATCAGGGGGACCTCTGATTAATAGGCAGTCAGTCAGAAGCACTGGACTTGCAACTGGTATCTGAAGTGGGGGCAGCCTTTTAGGACTGAGCCCTGAACCTACAGGATCTGATGCTGTCACCAGTTAGCTAGTGCCAGAGTTGAGTATCATTGTGGGAAATTGAAGAATTGCCTGGTATGAAAAATACTCCCCCTTATCTGATGTCAGAAATGAAATATTGAGTGTAGAACTGGCATGAATTTCACAGAGAGGAAAAAAGAGTTTCCTATCCATTATACACACTTACCCATCTGATTCCTCATGTAATTGTGATATGGAAAAAAATCTATTTGTTTATGAAAGGGAGAAGCTACCTTTAAAAAAATAATTCTCTCCTGCAGTGGCTCATGCCTATAATCTCAGCACTTGGAGAGGCCGAGGTGGGCAGATCACCTAAGGTCAGGAGTTCAAGACCAGCCTGGCCAACATGGTAAAACCCCATCTCTACTAAAAATTCAAAAATTAGCCAGGCATGGTGGTATATGCCTGTAATCCCAGCTACTCAGGAGAATGAGGCAGGAGAACTGCTTGAGCTGGGGAGGCAGAAGTTGCAGTGAGCCAAGATTGTGACAGTGCACTCCAACCTGGGTGACAGAGAGAGACTCTATCTCAAAAAAATAAATAAATAAAATAATAATAATAAGTCTCTCCCATCAATTTGATATCTGGAATTTCTTTATCAAGGAAGTAACAATGTCTATCTTAGAAAACAGGGCTGGGCATTTAAATTTAAAATGTGTGCATCAAAGGTATGAATGACTAAAAATAAAGTTCATAGTTTATGTTTGCTGTTACAAAATGAGAAATAACATGGGAAGAAGAGTGAAGTAATATATTCAAGACTAGTCCAACCAAAAAGGACTAAGCAGTACACAAACTGTAAATGGTGATGTAATCTAAGCCATCTATCCCTTGTCTCCAATACTGCTCTCCTGCAACCAGCTTTACTCCTATATTTTCACTTATGTGCTCCTTTTTAATTGTCTTCAATGTGCACTGGACAATAACAGTCATATTTCAGATTCAGACAGTGACCTCAGGATCCCCTGTAATGGCTCCTCTGCACCTGGAAAGTAGATCTGTTTCTTGTGACACCAAAGTGAGGAAACACCTCAAAGGGAAATTAAAGGAGAGGGGACAGTATAAATAGGGTATTATAATCTTATGAGATATGATAGCTGCTATGATCTGAATGTTGGTGCCCACCCCCATCATCAGATTCATATACTGAAACATAATTCTTGGTGCAGTGGTGTTGGGAGGTCAGGCTTTTAGAAGATGATTAGGTCATGAAGGCAGAGCCCTCATGAATGGCATTAGTGTCCTGTAAAGAAGGCCTGAGAGAGCTTGTTCACTCCCTCCACCATGTAAAAATACAGCCAGAAGATGCCATCTATGAAACAGAGGATGAACCCTCATGAGACAACAAATCTGCTGGTGCCTTGATTTTGGACCTACCAGACTCCAGACCTGTGAGCAATAAACTTCTGTTGTTTATAATTTGCCCATCTAAGATATTTTATTATGTGCCCCAAAGGTATTTTATTATCTTAGATCAGACAATTTATAAACAACAGATTTACGGTAGTCAAATGGACTAAGGCAATGGCCCACCTTAATGATGACAAAATTCTGCTGAATATTGATCCTGACCATGTGTACTCATGGAGAGTTTGTCCAAGTTTGGTCTCAATAGACAGAAAAACAGCTTGATCTACACAGGACTCAAACACAGTACATGGTGTACGCTAACCAATGAACCCGCCAGCCACATATCAAAGGGCATATTATGGAAAAAATGCTGCCTGGTTAACTTCCCTTTCTCAAATTTTTCCACACTTCCCCATGTCCAGATCACACAATAGCTTAAGCATGTAGTTATTCTCCACTGGGGTCCTGTAATAGATGTTTTTTTTTCTTTTTTCTTTTTGGAATTTGGTCTTTATACATCCATAAGCTGCTAAACACCCGCCTTTCTCCTGGATCTCTCAGACAAGTCATAAATGTCATCTTTACTGCGTTTCTTCATCAATCAATCTGATTGACATCTGTAACCAAGTGAAGCAAAACCATAGCAGGACAGCTAGAAAGCGGGAGAAGCTGCCCTGTGCACATCATGAGCACCCAGGCAACATTTGTGGGTCATCACACCACAGGCACAACTCGGACACACATCCATGGACAGAAAGAGCCATCAGCAAAGTCAAGAAGCAGCTCCTTTGCGTGCTTCTACTGAGAAGGATAATTATCACATAGCATGGCTGAATGCCTGGAAATATCAGTAAATGCTAGGCGGGGATTATAACATGAGATGAAAGACAATAAAGGCAGAAGACAGAACAAACTTGGACAAGCTTTCAGTGCTTCATCTATAAATGAAGATTGTATCACTCCTCCTTATATTAGTATGTGAGGAAAAAAATAAGTCAGAAAATATTTTGTAAACTTACCATTCAGCACATGACACTTGGTAAGTATTAAAGAAACAGCAGTGCTTATTATCATTTCATGAAATAATGCCTAAAGTGGTATTATTTTCTTGGAAACACAGGCCCATAAAAATTCATCCACAGTAGCAAAAATACACTTATTTGTATCTAGTAAGCAATAAGATATAATAAAGGGAACCCTAAGCAGAAGCTTGGAATGGATGATCCATGTATTCAAATACTCCATATCATCCTAAAATGAAGGTGGCATTTACAACAGCTGTGCCCATGCAATACTGTGAATGACTTTGCTACATGCTATATCCCAAAGCTGTTGTTAACCCCAGTTTAGCATCCATGATAACACACCCATGCTTGTATAAGCAGGAGGAATCTAGAGTTGATTTTAGAGAAATGAAATAAAAGTGAAGCGGGGTGACACTCAGGGCAGGGCAGAACAAATGCACTACATCCTGGAGATGAGCTGGAGGGGAAGGGGCCCGAGGAGAGGGGTGGGATGGGATATGAGAGAGTGGAAGATGTTTCTATGTCAAATATTTCAGTCTGAATTTCAGGTCCCTATGGCCCCCAGAGTCATGAAATAGGCTTGGGAAATTTGTCACTCAGGACCTTCATCAGGTCCTTCCTGTGCAAAAAGGCTTCCCAAATTCAGCTGGGTACAGTGGCTCATGCCTATAATCTCAGCACTTTGGGAGGCCAGGTGGGGCAGATCATGAAGTCAGGAGTTCGAGACCAGCCTGGCCAACATGGTGAAACCCCGTCTCTACTAAAAATACAAAAAAAATTAGCCAGGTGCAGTGGTGGGTGCCTGTAACCCCAGCTACTCTGGAGGCTGAGGCAGGAAAGGTGGAGGTTGCGGTGAGCCAAGGCACCACTGCACT